TCGCTCCTTCCGTGGGCGGTGAAGCAGCCGCCCCCGGAGCCGGCGTCGCGCGGAGCGTGTCCCCCGCTGCGTGCCCTGGGCTCGGGGTGTAGCGGGGCCCGGGTCGCTCCCCCTTTGCCTCAGGGTGAAAGGAAAGCCCCGAGCGGAGCTGCGGGGAGCGCTTGTTGCTCACGGAGCAATAAAAACAAGCTGCTGGTTACCTGGTTTTGTCGTCGTGTTTTGCTGCACAAAGTACAGAGGGTTGCCAGGGTCGGAGGTTGGAAGCCTGAGCAGGGGGCTTAGTTAAGCTGTTAACTCGGACTGGGTCGGTGCCTTCTTTCTGTTTTTATTACTGTGTTTGAATAAAAGGGCACCTCCTCTAACACGAGGAACAGTTAGGATCGAGAGCCAGGCGCTTGCTTCTGCCTGACTTCTAATGTAATGACTTCTCCAAAAGGCCAAATCACAAAATAATTTATGTTTGGAGGGCCCACGCAGGGGACCTCCATGCCAGCCTCCCCTGAAAACAAGGCTGACTTCATAGTGGCATCAGATTTTTCAGAGCCTTGTCCATTTGGGGTTCAAATCTCACAGAACGCATTCACGTGAATGCTCAGTGTTCTGAAAGATAAAAACATTGAAATCAAACTTAGTATATCTGTTAAATGCACCCGAAGGGCTTTCTCCATTAGCCTGGAGAAGATTGAGAGGAGATCTGATCAATATGTTCAAGTACCTGAAGGGAGAATGTAGGGAGGATGGGGCCAAACGCTTCTCAGTGGTGGCCAGTGACAGGACAAGGGGTAATGGGTACAAGTTGAAACACAGGAAGCTCCATCTCCATGTGAGGAAGAACTTCTTTCTGTGATGGTGACAGAGCCCTGGAACAGGCTGCCCAGAGAGGTTGTGGAGTCTCCTTTTCTGGAGATCTTCCAAACCCGCTTGGATGCCACCCTGTGCCACGTGTTCTGGGTGTCCCTGCTGGAGCAGGGGGCTTGGACTAGATGATCTCTAGAGGTCCCTTCCAACCTCAACCATTCTGTGATTCTGTGAATGTGAAAGACTCCTGCTCCCATAGCACGCTAACCAAGCATCACCCGTTTGTGCAGCCCAGAGGCCCAGCAGCGCGTGGGCAGGATGCGGCCCGTCATCGTGGTGCACGGCGGAGCCGGCCGCGTCTTTGCGGAGCGGGAAGGAGGATGTCGCTCCGGGGTTGTCAGAGCTGCCCTGCGGGGGCACCGGCTCCTCGCAGAGGGGGGCACTGCCCTGGATGCGGTTGAGGAGGCCGTGCGGTCAATGGAAGATGATCCTCACTTCAACGCAGGTAACTGTTTAAGAAAGTTACCAAGAGTTAAATGGGTTTGGAATAACTTTTTAACACTTCTTTTTTTGTCCAGCTCATCCTGAAAATGCTGACTTGTGTTGTATTTGAATTGTGCGCATTGCAGTGGAATAAATATTTGCATTACAAATACTTTGCTTCTCTCTATATAATAAAATGGCATGGTGTGTAGCAGTTTCTTGTGAGCATGCTTAGGCAGATGAGTTACTCTTTCTCAGTTTTCAGACATTTTATACCTGCTGTTTCATTCAATGTCTCATTCAGACATTATATACTTGCTGCAGTATTACTGTTCTGTAAATGTTCTCTTATTTTGTGCTGTCTTCAAGGCGCGGATTCCTTAACGGAGTAGATGTTTACTTAACGTTCATATTTAAATTCCTTGAATATGGCCTTGAGCAAAATTTTGAGCTTTAATGTTTTGCCTATACCAATTTTCTGAGGAGGGCTGTTCTTGGAAATATTATTTTATTTTTAATTAATGCTTATAATTAGTGCTTTGGTAAATAATATTATAAAAATAATGTAATAAGGGTATGTCATTGAATTCATACTTTAAGTGTTTTAAACTGAACTTCCTAACAAATACATTTGTATTCTGTAAAATTTTTCTCCTCTTCATATGACCTCAGGCTTGTTTTGATGAAGTTCAGTGAAAATATTTCCCCCACCAAGGTATGTCAAGAATGACCATAAAAAAAGAAAGACCTGCCAGTGTCTGGTGTCCTGGATAGTAGTGAAGACATTGTGTTTGCAGAGATTCACCTATTTCTTCTCACCTAGTAATTGAGGTTGAGGGAAAGATTTTACTTTCAATTTTACTTTCTAGGCTATTATATAATTAATATCTGGCTTGTGTTCTCTCACAGCTTGTATCTTAGCATATTAACTTGTATTTCTCTTTATCTATTCTCTAAACCTGTCATTGACCTTTGTAATATATGGCTTATATCAGTAAATCAGTACCTGTTCAGCCTTTAGCTATTGTCATGCTTCTTGGTTATATATCTCCTCTGACAAATATTTTAGATTTTTTTTTTAACACAAACTGCCTCAGGCTAGGAAAAATCCCTTATTCTTGAGCTGCCTGATATTAGCTGTCCAGCTGATGATGTGGAAGCAATATATAAACCACTTAAAGATTCTCTGCATCTCTTAATCATTCTGTGTAAACAGCTGCATACTTTCTTGGTTTACTATACATTGGTTTTCGTGATACTGTGTAAAAGAAAGAAAATTATTTAGACGGGAAACATGTTTTAGCTGTAGTGTAACTTTCTCTGTGGTGAAAGCGTACTTCATAATAGTCTGCTTAAGTTCACGTAACTTACACATAACAGCCTGAAGAACTTGCACACTTTTCCTGGTGAGTAGAAGCACAGTAAGTAGCAGTACATGCTCTGTGTTTGAATATGGCACACATTTTTCTCTCTCTCTGTTTTTTTCTTTTTCTTTTTTTTTTAAACTCTTCATTTGGAATCTCATCACTAGTATTACTTTCGCTGAGCCATGCTGAGCTTTGGGAAGTAGATGAAAATAGGTGAAATGACACAGGACAAAATATTTTCCTTATTTTGTAGCATTGATCCGGTCTTTCATCTGGACGCATTCTCACTGACCTCTGCTCTGCCTTTACTTCTGGTTTGTTTCTGATGTTGTAGGAGGGAAGGCTGTGCAATCGCTTAAATGTTACCTCCTCTGTCCAGAGCAAAGATTCCAGCCTCTCTCCCAGCTACATCATTGAGCTGACAACTGTGAACACTGTGTGCTCATCTACAGCACTTCCATCTAGAAGTGATGATATCACTGGAGAATTAATGCTTGTAATTAGTCCTTTGGTAAATAATATTATAAAAATAATGTAACGAGGGTATAATAAGGTATATAAATAACGGTATATAAAGAAAGTTTATAAAATATGGTAAAGATTACCTTTATTACGTTATCCAATGACTGTTACTTATAACTTAACACTTTGTCTAACATATGAAGTGCAATATATGCATGTGATAGCATTTTTTAAGGTCCAAAGTCATGTTTTATCCTTGATGGAAAATAAGGATGTGGGTTTTTTTGGTTGTGTGAGTTTTTTTTTTTTTTTATCTGAGTGCATTTACTCCAACTCATTCTTGGTTCTAATAATTCAATATTTATTTCTTGTAATATATTAAATGAGCAATTTTTAGCAACAGTTGCCTAAACTGTGCCCTTATGAACTTTAAGCCCTTGTTCAGTTTGACTATTTTGATCGAAATGGTGAGTAGTCTTGTAATCACTTATGTATGCATCTAACTGTGTTAATGCTCATTAGATACAGCTGCTCTCCGGAGCTGGGGAGAATGAGCTGCAAGCTGTGTGAAGAGGGCCCTGATTGGAGTGGCTGTTTAAAACTCACCGTGTGGCATTTATCTCTGTAAAAGTAAAAGCAGTTCTATTGTAATGGTTTTTTTATAAAAACATGGACATTACTAAGAGGCATCAGGAAAGATTGGGAAGGATGCACGTAAGGATCAAGTTATGGCCCTTTCAGATAATAGGGTTCAGCTGTACTCTAGTTGCATCTCCATGCAGGCATGGTGGTGGGCTCCGAAGCTGCACTGTCTCTGAGCTGACCGCCTCAAGGAGTTGTGCAGCATCCAGCTAACAATAAAGTCGTCACGTTCTGCTTGTGGTGAGGAAGTGACCGTGGCTCCATTTCCTTGGTGCCTGTCTAATGAATAGCAGTGTTAATAGCTTGGCCTGTGTACTTCGCGTATAAGAACTGTCATTCCAGTGCAGGGATCCTTGCACGCTCTTTCCTTCTTAACCTTTCTGCTGGACTTAGCTGCAGTGTAGCCTGTAGATAGCGGGAATTTGGGTAATCCTCCAAGCATCCCTGCTGGCATTTGGAAAATGCCAGATGCATTCCTTATGTAGGGTCCCTTAGATTTTCCCTCTGTGTTTCTGCTTTGTTCCCCTGCCCTTGACTCATATCTGAGACTTTTTTCCCCCCCACCTCAGTGCTGCCGCAGTTATATAGCTCCTTCGGGCAGCAGGTGGGCACCTCCTCTCCTTCTGGAAGGCAGATGGAAAGACAGGCTGAGCTGGAAGCACGTGGGTAACCAGCCAGGAGGCATTTTTAAATTGTGCTTTGAGAGGATCTCCACTGGCTATAAAAGGAGCCTTTCGTAGGTAGCTATCTTCAGCCAGATGGACTCTTCAATGGATTTCTGCTCAGGATATGACAGGAGTAGCTTATTTAAGGTTTGGAAGAGGAAGGGCCCCTTTCTTTTAGCAAGAAAGAGGAAGCTCAGTTCTTTTTGTGTCAATTATGTACATAATGTAATGTACACAATGTAACAGCAGGTCAGTGCCTGATGCAGATGATTAATGGCAGTGAATGAAGCCCTAGGATATTTCCCCTGAGAGATGTGCAGCAGGTATTGTGGCTTACAACAAATGCAGCCGTGAAAGGGACTGGTAGGATTTCCTCAGGAGCCGGGCATCCTCTGGAAGCATAAGGGAGAAGCTGGAAGAGTGATGCAGGCTCAGGGACGCAAGGAAGTTACCTGCATGGATCAGAGTAGTGCAGAAATCAGTGTGTTCTGAACAATGCAGGACTGAGCTCTAGAATAGTTGTTGGGTGGGAGGAGGGGCAAAAAATAACCTTTTGGGACAGAGTTCATGTGCATGCAAGTTGGGGGGAATTTTGGAGATTGCAGGAGGAAGAAACAGGATTTTGTTGCCTTGTTTAGCATGGGATTGAAGTTTATATATCAGGTCTGAAATACACTAGTATAGAAGTCTCATGTCAGCAGTGGCTAGCAGTGGTTTCCATTTTGCATTAACGTTAGTTTAACAGAATAAAAATCTCTTTTACCTTTGCACAGTCTTCAAGTCTTTCTACCTGGTTTAGTGTGAGTCTGCCAGGCCTTTTTTTTTTTTTTTTTTAACTTGTTTTCTCTATATTCCATTAACAAGACTTGTGTACTTGATCTCTTACTGCTCACCATTCCCCTGTTGTGCAGTTATTGGCTATATATATGTATATATACATATATATAAAGCATTTGCATTATTTCATTTTGAGTTTCATTAATATTAGATTAGGTTAGTCATCGTATTGATAATTATAGAAGAAAATAACTAACCAACATTTTATTACTTAATATTGCCTTTTTTTTCTTTTTTTCTTAATCCCTTCATCTACTGTTTTTATTTGGCAATGAAGAACATGGTATTTCAAGTTTTCGGCACGCTAGTGAGTGGATGCTTTAGCCTTTTATTTTTCTCTTAACAATTTCAGCAATTTTTTAGGCTGTTACTGAGATGCTAATCTCCTGATAGGATTGAAGCCTAAATTATTTTGCTGGGTTGTGTTGTATTCTACTGTTCGGAAAAAATATATAGAGGTAAAGTAGCTTTATGTGCACATAAAATGATTTGGGTGATAACGAGTCCTGTTTTTCACTTTATGTTTATCACTTTATCATTCATATCTCATATAGCATTTCAGATGGGATTACACTAATGGCATTCCATATACTGAATTAATGATTTGCGTTTGAGTCACAAGTGTGTTTTCCATCTTATAAAAGAATAAAAAAAGCTCTTCATTTTTAAGTAGTCATTCTACCATGCAAGGCTTCTGTTAATGGCACAGGGTTTTGCCAAGTGTGGCCTTACTTGGCAGCATTTCTGCAATTCTTTTTATAAGCAGGAGGTAGTCACTTTCAATAAGTCAGAAGACAAACTGGAAAAGAAAAAGTCTGCTTGATGATGTCTAATAATTGAATTATGGTGCTTAACTCTTAATAACATTGTTCTTTTTCTCTTTTCTTCTCTTTTTTTTTTTCTTTAGGCTGTGGATCTGTTCTAAATGAAAAAGGTGAAGTAGAAATGGACGCCATTATCATGGATGGAAAAAATCTAGCTTCGGGAGCAGTATCTGCAGTTAAATGCATAGCAAACCCTATAAAACTTGCTCGACTTGTTATGGAAAAGGTATGCTGAATGAGTACTCACCCCTGCAACCCTGTGCATCTGTTTTACCACAACTAGCCTCTGACTGTGAGCAAAAAGTTTGCACCATTTCTGGCATGTGTGTTTTTCGTCCTGCTAGTGCAGCTACACTGTAGTTGAAAAGGGATTGCATTTGCAAGAACACTTATCAACAAAGAGGATTTATGTCTCTTTAACCTTTTGAAGTGACTTTTGAGAAAACAAAACCTCTTTTTTTTCTCTCTATAAAGAAGATTTAAATGCAGCTTGTCCTCAGAAGCTTTCAAAGGACATAAGAATTATTTTTGCCCTTAATTGGAGAGAAGTTCTTTTTAAAAGCAGAACCTTTCAGTAAAATATAGATATGTGTGCCCAACAAAAAGCAGTGTTTAAACTTGTAATGAATAAGCTTTTTGACCCTTTATATGGGATTTATCCTGCTAGTCAACAAGGACAAATAAGTGAATATATATTGGTAGGCAGCTTCACAAGACCAGATACTTTGTAATTTGAGAATATGGATGGAGGTTCAAGGGAGACATCTCTTTTAGAATACTGGGGAAAAATGTTTGTATATTTTTTAATTTTTTTTTCTGTAAATCATTTATTTGAATGCCATTGTTCAGTTCATATTCCAAATGGATTTGGTCTCCATTTTCTAATGATGAGTCAACGTCAAGAATAAAGTCAAGGCAGCAGAAATTGTTTCTGAGAAAATTCTGAGAAAATAACAGACCAAAGCATTTAAAAGCACAAAAATATACAACCACCACCCCCAAAAGACAAAACGAACAAAAAACTTGCTCAAGTATGATGAGATTTTTATTGTTATTTCTTGACACTTGTAGTGCTCATAATGTTGAGGCTAAATTTGAAATGAAATAGTAAAATCTAACAGTAGAGGACCAAGCATAATTATATGGCTGAGAAAATATAGAATGAAAAGCACATCCATTTTGTGATCAAGTATATTTCCTTTTGCCCGGATGCCAGGAATTCTGCATAAAAGATGAAGATCAGAGGTATATATTAGCATGAACTTCTTGATATATCTTAAGCTAAGTTTTAGTAGCTTCTGTGGTAGATACTGCGAATTGGAACAGCCACTGATGTTTGCTCTCCTGCCTGCTCTTAGGCAGGAATTATGGGTCCCTGTATCCAAATTATTTTCGTTGGTGGAAGAGGGAACAAGGGAAGAGCAAACTTAGGTACGGAATTAGAAAATACTTTGAACTTGGTGTCCTGTGGATGCAGAGGTTGGAGTTTTCATGGGGTCTTGAGCATGTTTAGAGAAAAACAGCACCACCAACAAAAACCACCTCTTACAATTATCCTTATTTCTGTTCCTTTTGTGGCACAATAGGGGCTCCATCTGGTGGTCAAAGGAACTCCTTTATATTTACCGCACACGTGTATCTTGTAGGCTGTCACACCATCACTGGCCTCAAACTGTCCTGGCTGATGGCGTAGAGCAAAGGAGGGCACAGGAATGGTTTCCATCCATGCCTTACTAAAATGTTGAACGTAGCAGTCTCTAGAGATGAAGGGCTTAGTTCATTAACTAATTCAGCAAATCCTTGAGAAAGCAGTTCAATTTCTGTTAAATTAATACTGTGTGCAGTGAACAAAGATATGATGCATTGAAAAGGCTTTCTGTTTTTTTTCAGTAGGGAAGGTAATCCCCCCTCTGCCCCAACATGTATATTAGGTGGCTCTCACGTATGTTGGAACACACGAGCTGCCTTTCTGTACCTTTTTCCCCCTGCTGAATTGCCCAGCTCTTTCAATTAGACTAAAGAGAACTTAACTTAGAGCACAGGCTGCTTAACACAAACTCAAACTTCTGCTCTGTTCTGCAGGATGACAGGATGGTTACATTTTGGTGGGAATTCCAGGCAAGTGCAGAAGCTTGATGGTCTTTTTCCTCCCCATATTCCATAAAATCAATGAAACTTGCTATCATTTATTTCTTATTCAGACCTCTTTTTGTCTTTTTGCACTACTTCCAGACTATAAATGTATCCCAGAAAAACTGGACACTTAAAATTAGCAAATGCATTCATGAAGATGTAGAAGAAGGATAAGACAAACAGGTTTTTTCATTTGTTTGCCACTGTTCCACCCACTCTTATGATGACAGTAGGCGTTGAAAGAAAAACTAAGTGATGACTTCCTCAGATAACCTTTCTTAGCGAGGACTGCAAAAAAAACTATCACAGAAGCTTATTCCTCTATATGCCAATATAGGGGCAGGTATATTATCAGAATGTGCATATGGGAGAGGGAACACTTAGAAAGCTAAATATATATATAATATGTAAAGAATAATATTCTCTATTTCTGAAGCATGTAAATGATGGAGGAGATGGTCTTCCCATGTAGACAGTCAAAGGAAAAGTTCAGTTGTCTTTTCTAAAAATAAAAGTTTGCAGTATTGAGCCATGTGCTATTGGTGTTTAGGTACAGTGGCAGCAGGGGGGCAGTATTGCACAAAAAAGTTCTGTTCCAAGTCCAAGAACTTCAGCTTTGTCAGAAATAGATGGATCTGTTATCATTTGGTAACATCTCCTACAAGGTAATATTGACTCCACTTTCAAGCATACAGATGAGTTTTCTTTGCAACCCTTAGTCTCGTTCTGTATAGCAGTGCTGTCATGAAGCAAGGACTTAACTTGCAGGAAAAAGATACTTAATTATTTTCAAATATCTGCCATTATGGCTACTACATGTATGAATGACCATTCAGGAGTGAGTTTAAAGTGTATGCACGTTTTTTGCTTGTATACATGTTTGAAAATGTTAGTCTGGAGACTGTATTAGGCTGAGGCAGAGCTCAGTATCTGTGGCTTCGGGAAAAGTTCTACTCAACTCTAATCCTTCTCAAAAAGGCTGTGCTGTGGCTTAGTCATGATGGTGATTGCTGGCTATTGCTTTAGCAATGCTGCAGCATCTTAAAGTGTGAAGCTTTGAGACTCTATGTGTTCTGCAGACCCCAGCTTGATACAAATACTGCAACTGCAGCCAGCCTGGCTGTCCGGCACGTGACGGCTTCCAGCATGACACAGTTCTGCTTTTTGGCCCTAACCTAGTACCTTTGTGCTAAGCTGCAAGGGCCTAAGGCCTTAAGTTAGTTGCTGTGCTCTAAAATAACTCTGTACAACAGCATGAGACCAGCACTCTCGAAAAGCTTCACCACTATGAATAATGGCTGTGCACTGGTATAAGAAGTTGATGTTTATTTTGGACAGTTGTTAAAAATGAATAAATAAACAAAACACATGAACAGAGATTTTAGAGCTTCTAGCAATAAAGTAGGAGGACTAATGAAACAAATCTGGCAAGTTTCTCTAAAATAAAAATGAAGGCATACAGACTTTGAAGCATGGATTTAACTAAGGTTATTGACTTAAGATCAAGTTAGTGCATTGCTGAATGAAAAGATCAAAACAGAACTTAGCAAATGTAAATATTGTTAGAAGAGAGCAAGCAGCCCTTTGTGAAATCGGAGAACAATATTCTATTCTTATATGTGAAATTCGGGGTCCCTAAGAGCAGCAACTAGTAAGGGCAATATTAATAATAAATAATCTATATGATATTAAAAAGCACTTCAGCGAATGATATTTAAATCTTTTTTGTTACTCTACTTCTACAAAGTGTAGTTATTTTGACCAGAGCAAGGATTTATTTACCATTCTTTCCTGTGATTAAAGTCATTCTAGATTTCTTAGTTAACTGGACAAACCAATTATTAAGGTAAGTAATGACTTGGAGATTGACTGAAGATAATAGAAATATAAGTTTTACCCAAATTAGCAAAAATGAGCAAACTTACCACATTTTCTTTTTCTACTATAGTCAGTTTTAAATAGATTATAATGTAATTCTGTTCAAATACTGAGGGCTTCTATCTGTGTTGTGGAAAGCTGTAACGCTTTTCTAGTGGATGAGGAGGTAAGCATAGAAATCTGGGAAGTTTAAAAATAAAACCACATCTGGAATGTTCTCTAGATACATATTTTAAAAATGACGAATGATCATACAGAATTATCAATGTAAGACCAAACAAATATTGTCAGTCAAATATTGTCATTTTCTGCCCTCCCCAGACAAAACACCTGCTGCTGACGGGCCATGGGGCTCAGCTCTTTGCTCGAGCCATGGGGATTCCTGAGGTCCCAGAGGAGAAACTCATAACTGAAAGATCCCGGGAGAGATGGAAGAAGAACCTCGAGCCAGATTCCAACCCCGAAGAGTTTCAGAAGTAGGGCTCTCCTAAAATATGTTTTCGTTTTAAATACAGGTATTGATCCAAAAACAAACAAACAAACAAAACCAAAAAGCAAACAGAATTTGTGGGCTTCTTCTCAGATTTGAGAGTATTTCAGTTCTTATTGATACTGTCCTCAGAGTATGTCCTCAGTGAAAGTAATGCATGAAAGTCAAAATGCAAAAATATGTTTTTTAAACAAAGCAAAGCTGTATTTGCTCTGTCTAAGGAACTGGAGCTTAATGAACAAGTTTCTTAATACTCTAGAAGGAAAATGCTCACTTTGGCTTACTGTGGGGTTTTGTGGCATTAATGGAGAACAAAATTAGAACTTGTCATTGCTCTTAAAATCACCAGCTACAGAAGTGCCTAGAGCAGCTTTTACAAACAAATTATTTACCACAGAACAACTGTGTTTTTTAAAAAATCACAGTCCACATGCAAAAATATATATTTCTAAAAACTGGTTTTGAAATGTAAATGATCAGTTGTCTCTCTAAACTGGATTAGATAGTTAATGTTGTCCAAGTTTGGTCTGTAGGGCTTTCTGAGTGCTGATGCAGCTGCGGGTAGTGGGGAGAAGAAAAAAATAGACAAGAAGATCGGCATAGTGGTGGATGCTAATATGTACGTAATTGGATTGCAATAGACACCAAAAGAATAGTCATTTAGAAAATAAGCCAACCTGACATAAAATAGAGAGGAAGGTAAAGTAGAGGCAGAAAGAGGAAAAATCAAGCATCAAAAATGTATTTTCTGTCTTGTTGAGATAGGTATAAATATCGTTTTTTTAAGCTTCCGTATATATGGGAGTGTTGTGGCATAGGAAATGTTGCTTGTCTCTTCTGTGAAGCAGTGGGAATGAGATGAGGAATTTGCCCATCAGAAAGAGGACATTTCCTTTGTGGGCATGATAACTAAAATCCATGAAATGGAAGCACAAAAAAAAAATCTGATATACTGCTAGAAAGAAAAACAAATTCACAAGACCAGTGTAAATATGGTCTTATAAACAAAGTGAAGTTGTTCTTGGCAATAAAGGTCACAGCCATAGTTCATCTTGTGTATGACACAAGTGTTTTGATCCATTGCCTATCAAGGACTGTGAGGTATAATTCATGCTCAAGAATTTTGAGCATGGGGTAACACCCACCGTCTCGTGTAAGTTTGAACAGCAACATGTCCTAGTCTTGGTTCTTTCTGAAACTCTCTTATTTATAGTGGCATTATGCATCTTCAGTTTTAGTGTTGTCTTGATCTGGACTATCTGCTACTGGAAGACTTGTCTATTTCAGAGGGGCTTGACCTTTTTTTTTCAAACGGAAAATCAGTATTCTCAAACTCACAGAGTTGAAAGCAGGTCTGTTTGTTAGTCTGTTTGTTCCTGTATTGAGTGTAGAAAGTTATTTTTACTCATAGTGTCCACAGCGATTATGTAGAAGCCCCCCAGAGGCAAACAGGCAGGAGGTGAATGTGTTATCAGGTAGAGGCAACATAATATGAGATCGTACTGGGAAGGTAAAGGCTGGTGGGTACCTCCCTGTCAGTCCTCAGGCCCTACTAATGTATCAGCTGACTGTCCTGGAAGTCTTCTGGATTCATGGCTTTCCAAGTAGAAGTTCAGTGTATCCAGAAAAGAGACCTTTGTCTTCTGCTGGTCATAAACCTGCATTGATTCACAAAACTAAATATTGAGAGTGTATTTCTGAGAACATGTTAAAAGTTTGTGATTCTGTTGCATGAACAACACGACATTGTGTACCCCTTTTGCTGAGAATAAGATGTAGTTTGTTTCATCTTCAGTCTCTCATTTGGAAGATTTGTATCAGATGGGTGGATGGGAAGCCCATCTGCAGCATCATGTCAGTCTGAGGTGAGGTCCAGCTCCACGTAAACGTCAAGGCACTCTATAAGGGGTGAGATTCACCAGTCAGCCTCGATTCGTTGCGATTGGAGCATGGGGGCTGGCAGTGCCAATTTTTGTGTAAGCAGGAAGGAAACAGAAGTTGGTTTCACGATGCACAAAGACTTTGCCTGACCTAGCTTTGGTTTTAGGGGGCGATGGAGAGATCCTGGGAAAGCAGCACAAAGTCTTCCCTCTGTGGAGGGATTTAGGTATTTTGAGTACATCGCTCCCAAATAGATACTATTTTATGTCATTACCTGAATTACCAAAATTGGAATATGTAGCCAGACACTCAAGCCCTTGCCCATTGATAATATATTGCTTCTTAATCAGTAACTTCTACAGTAAGTTGCAATAGCCTTTCTCTCACTTGCTCATTCTCTCTTTCTACTATGCAAATGTACTTTTTAAAGTAGTCTCTTACAGCTGACTTTTCTGTGCTGAAGCAATTGCTGAGACTTTTCCTCCACAGTGTATGAAGATTTTTAAACTGATACTCAGTTCCAAGAGATTCTACTGGCTGAGTGCTTTAAACCTTAAGATTACTTGTCTGCCAAGTACAGAGGAAAAAATGCATTAATGATGCATTACGAAGTATTAACTGAAAGGCACAGAAATAATCTTTCCTTTTTGTGGCATTCAGACATTTAGGAGGATAGGAAAGAGGAAAGAGGAGGAACCAGGAAGGAAATGATTCAATGGATTCATAACAACATTGCTCTTCCTGTATTTACCTGCTCACATGCATTATTATTAATATTCCCAGTTAGTTTCCCTTTAAGGCAATGGAGAAAATTCTTGCACCTTTGAGTGGTTGTGCAGGGGAAAGCTGTGCATCAGGTGTCACATGTAACCAAACCTGCTCTGGAACCCTAACAGCTGGAAATATTCCTCCCTCGCGGGTAACTTTTCTTTTTCCCCTCCACGAGGGGTTGCCATGCTGTAAAGATAAAGCAGTGAGATCAGGCAGACTGAAAATATCGAGAGTGTTTTCTGTGTTATTAATAATAAGGTTATCACAGTTGTTATTATTGCTTATTAGTTAAAAAGATAGTGTATTTTATAATAAAAACATGATAAAAATGCCTTTATCATAAGCATAGATCAAACTTTTTCACATCGGATCTGCACTAATTTTTTTAAGGTACTTGGAAAATAGATTCAGCGTGCCTTGGCACGTAGGCTTTAACTCTACCTGATTTCGTGAGCTGTTTTTCTTGGCAGGGACCTGGGAACAGTCGGTGCTGTTGCTATAGACAGCGAAGGAAACGTCGCTTGTGCAACATCCACTGGAGGACTCTCCAACAAGCTGATCGGCCGTGTTGGTGACACCGCCTGCATAGGTGTGGGCTGTGGGGATGTCCCTCGTGGGCTTGCATGTGTCTTATTTAAACCACGTAGAGTCTCCCTGCTGTTAGGGAATTGAAACATTCATATGAGAAAGTATAAAATGGTTTCTAACATTCAGTGTATCCAAGTTTTGGCTCCTTTGTACAACATGGGGGCTGCAAGTAGAGAGTAGGAATAGAGGTGAGTTGTCATCACTATCCTCCAAGACCTTCTTGATTTGGGAAAATAATAGCATTAGATCTGATTATTTTCTTTTTCCTGTGTGTCCTTTATGTTCCTTCTAATAATGTTATCCTTATTCCTTGCTCACAGTTAAGTCAAAAATGTACCCTGTTCTGTACTAAAATCCCTTTTTTCTTGATACTTAGGAAAGGAGGTATAACTGTAATTACTGTGGTTTCATTATACCAGCCAGCCCAAAGTCCAAAATGCCTGACAACTTGGAGTAGATTCCTGCTCCTGGAGAGCCAGATAAGACTGCATCAGAACCTAGTAGATGTGGTGTGGAATAGAGAAAATATTTTAAGAGATCTCTTATCCCAGTGTAGAGAGGCACTTGTAATCCTTCCCCCAGGCTGGTTCCTCTCGTGGGACAGACTTGCCCTTTGATTACCTCAGGACTTTGTCAGGAAGTTGGGATTTGGGAAATAATTATTTTTAGTAAAATATGTTCCAAACGCAGGCTGCACTCTGCTGTTGGCAGCTCGTTATTATCATCGACCTTTTCTCATGTCCCAAATAACTGATATATTCTGGTACCCTCCTCATTTAGAGAGCGATTTTTTTTTCAGCTTGATTTTTGATTGCAGCCTTCTCAGAGTACTGTTGCCTGCAACTTTTGCCTCTGCTAGAGGTTTGTGTGACTGGATGCAGAAAATCTAGTGATGCTTTTAACTATCATAGTGTTTGGCCCATACTCATTTTGAAAAGGGAGTTGACAACTGTGGCAAAATGCTTCACTTGTAAATCAGGGTCTGTTGCAAGGGAGGTTTGAGATGAGGAAAGTAGGGGAGGGAAGAAGCTCTCGCTGTTCTGCTTGGCCTCCTTCCCCTCCCTCAGTGCCTTGTTTATCCATTGAGCTCCCCGGCATGCTCCTGCCCGTGCTCCTGGGAAATACTTCTCTTTGGAGATGTGCTAGGAGCAGGGATGTTGGGCAAGCGAAAGCCTGGTGGAGAACAGGGTGGGGAGGGTGCCAGCAAACAGGGATGAGGGAAAAAAGAGGGAAGAGTTTGACAGAAGAAACACCCTGCTTGAGATGAGGAGCTAGGAGATCTTCAGGGGTGCTTCGTGATGCTGCACCAGGGCCCAGGCTCTTCAAATCCCTCATCTGCCTTTGCAGTTTTTGTTTCCTTCACATCTTCTCTAGTAGTTATGTTGTCTGACCTGGCGTTCTGCATCCTACTGCTATCCCGCCGATCCTCAACATACCGTCCCTTGCTGTTCTGAAAAATGTTTATGTCCCCCCCACGCTGTGAATCTCTGGCCTCCTCTTGCTGCTCTGCTCCAAGCAAAGCAATGGTTTTCCTGCGCTCATAACTTGGCACTTGGCTTCATCCTGCTGTTGCTGATTTCTCAGAGACAGAAAAGAGAAAGGAGTTAGTTGCCTACACTGCTCCTAGAAGTGAACAGAACTTCCATACCATCAGGAGGAAATGGTTGATACCTTGTTTTTTTTTTTTTCTTAAATAATGCAATGTTTGTATATTATATTACAGAATATTGCCCTTGTTTTTTTTTTTCCTTTCAAAGGAAGTGGAGGTTATGCTGACAACTGCTGTGGTGCAGCTTCAACCACGGGACACGGGGAGAGCATCATGAAAGTCGTCTTAGCCCGGCTGGTCCTCTACCACATGGAGCAAGGTATGTTTGAAACCTCCTGTCACCTAAAATAAGGAGGATAGGAAGTGTTGCCCAAAGACAGGTTTAGGTTTGTGTGCCATCACTATAGAGCCCTTGTCCAAACAGTAACTTCCAGGAGTTATGTGGTTGGATTATCCCTCTTAAAAACAAACAAACAAAAAGGCCTGAAGTAATAAAAATGATAACATAGCCTTAAATGGACGGAAATAATCTCTGTTGCTTGATGCTTAATCATGTTTTAGGACAATGTATGTTGCAAGGTAATTGTCTACTCCGTCATGTTGAAGTTACACTTTCTTTGAGAAAGTTTGGTTCACAAAAATCAGTTTCAAATTGGAAAAAAATAAACAGGGATTTTAAGAAGAAATTAGGGAAAGGTTAGAGAGAAGAATCAAAGCAGTAGTAAGAACGTAGAGTATCACATTTCTAATGAGCTGTAATGTTCCCTGTTTTAAAAACGTTGATTATAGCAACAGAAATGCTTTAAAGACACTTCAGAATAACTACGATTGAAATTTTCATTTTGCTTTGGAAAGTGTCCTAAACTGTCTGCCGGGTATGTGGTAAACAGCTGACACAGTGTGTCTTGTGTGGCTGTAACATAATCTGCCTGTGGGCTGACCCTTTGGAGCGTTACCTTCGGGAGGGAGGCTGTCATCCAAACCCTTGATTATGTTACAGCCTGCACACGGAGCCACACAACAAGCTTGCACTGCACGCTGCTGAAGAATCATTAATAGAGCTATCAGCATTATTTTTAGAGAGCCTGGCTTTTGGGCACTGGGGAGCTGTAGCACTGGGGCATTGCAACGGGAAATGTTTGGAAAACTTTCGGTTTACATTTTTGTCACAGAAGCATTAAGTAGGGAGACAAGAACAGCTGAACAGCTGAGCTGCTTCACAGTGCTGTTTTCATACTAGATCTGTATTTCTCTGCAATTCTCTTGTTTCATTTCAAGGTTTCAGCATAAAATACACTAGTGGGTTATTTTTCAAAGTTCTAACATATCGTGGTCTATCCTCACTCACTTAGAAATGACTTTCTAAGCTCTATTTAATCTTGTGCAAGACAGTTTCTTCACTTGCTTGAAGTTACCTTCACTGCAAATACCTATCATTGTTATTTTGCCCATAATTTACTAGTAGGAAAGGAGAATAAGGCACAAATTAAAAGAAAAAATTAAAGGGGGGAGAAAGGGGTGCGAGAGAAAATCAACTTGTCTGCTAAAAAAAAAAAAAAACTGGTATGAGCTTGTTCCCCACTCCTGTGCTTACTCTGCCTCCGTTCACCCTGCTCAGAAGTGTAACTTGACTGCTAGGGAAGTGCAGCAATAATAGGCAGTTCCTTTACATTTCAAGGAAGGTGCTGAAAACAAATTCCCCTAATTACTGTGACTTCTGAGTCCTTGAGCTGCCAACCAAAGTAGCGTATTGAAGAACAACTGTAAAACCTAACACGCTCTTCAGTCTTCACTAATTTGCACAGTAAATACTTTGGGACCAATACTGCAAAATAAATCTACATGCTTAGAGAGCAAATTGTTTTGTAATTCTTAATAGCCACTGGAATCTGTGCCTTATGGTGACAGCTGTTGTCTTAATGAAAAAATCATGCGGTGAAATACTGACCCTTTGGTTCTGCAGTGTGTGTTTGCTCTTGACTCCAGGTTGGGAGGGGAGGAGTGCAGGTCAGTTGTTCTGCAGCCGGAGTTGCATAACATTGCAGATGATGGATATCCTGGAAGACTGGGACAAAGCTAACTGCATTCCTGTGTAGATACTCGATCTCGTAGTGCGCAAATAGCCTCCAGCTATTACAGGCCTCTGTATATGATGTACACAGTAATTTTTCCTTAAAAATATTCTTGTTAATATGAATGAAGTGTTACAAAAAGATGGAATTGCTCTGCTGCTGCTTTCTCTGATGCCTAGTCCATTTAGTCCTCATCTTCCCAGTTGTGTTCACAAGCCTCAGGAAGAGCAACACCAATGTCTGTGTTTGATAAATAGTGGAAATACATGCTTTGAGTTCCCTTGTGTCCAGTGGGCTTGGAATACACATCATGACTGAAAATTTTGCCTGTTTTAATGTGCATTTAAATCATAAATGCTTTAGAGGCCTGTGACAGGCCTTTCATGGAAATCTTGCAGGCTCCATTTTCCCCCTTAAATGCTGGCACATGAGATGCGTCCTGAACACAGAGTTGATGAGTTTGTCTCTACTGAAAGCTGGAAGTGAAATATAATACCAGAGTACTCAGCTTGCGTCTCTGCAGCAGCACCACAGCAGCTATCTGCAGCCATCCAGAGCCTGCCTCTGAAGTGGGCAGCTCCTCTGCTGCGCTTGTCAGTTGGGTTAGAGGAGGAATCAGTTTTGCTTGGCTCAGTAGTGGGGAGGTTACCATCCAAAGCGGTACCGTGTAGGTAATTTGTTCTTCCTGTCAGGAATGTCACCGGAGATGGCTGCCGACGCTGCGCTGAACCACATGGAGACGCGAGTCGGGGGCCGGGGGGGTGTCATCGTTGTTAACCGTGCCGGGGAGTGGGCAGCGAGGTTCTCCACCAAGCAGATGTCCTGGGCTACCGTGAAGGACGACCAGCTGCTCTATGGGATCCACGCTGGGGAGAGGCACACCAAGCCCCTTGGGGAAGCACTTGCGTCCGTATGTGAGGGGTTCTGAGAAGAACACGCGGCAGTAGGGAAGGATGAAGATTGCCAACTCTGGTTTGAGGGCAATGACAATTTACTCTTTCCAAAAGATCTGTACTCTTGATTAGTTCACAAGTGTTCACAGTCAAAATGAAAGCTGGGCAAAGCTCTCTTAAGAGTTGGGAAGGGTGATGTGTGCTGGGAGTCTAGTTCTGTTCATAGGCAGCAGACCTAGAATTAAAAATCAAAGACCGCAACAAAGTATGATAAAATGTCTTGAAATATGAGTGGACCACTAACAGTAAAGCCTACTAACTAACATGGTAGCAATAAAGAAGGTCATGATTTCAACAAAAATAAAATAATCTTCACTGCTTAAATAGGAAGATGATAGGCACCTTGTAAGTCTAAACATGAGAGAGATTTATGGTGACTAACTGGAAAGTAATTCTCTACAAGAAGTCAGGTCATAAAATCAAGCTGTGCTAATGCAAATACAACTGCCCTCTAACAAGTATCTTGTCTGAAGCCTGAAGTATTTTTGGAGAGATTTTGATTGTTTCTTTTTTTCTTTAAGAAGATACATAATATTAAACTGTATGATTTAAAAATTATCTTCTGCATTACCTCTTTTCAGTACAGTTTCTTCATTAAGATTTTGTGAAGGAAAAAAGAACATTTTGTTGATTTTTTTTCTGTTTTGTAACTTGGTTAAATCATTTGTGTATTAAAACAGCGCAATCCTCTTGTATGTTTCAGCTAGTGCCATGACTTGTGTTTCCTCTGAAGAAATATACAGATTTGTAAATTCTAATTATATAGCATCATACCGTGGAATGTTCCCTTTATAAGATAACCCAAATAAACATAGAAGAAAATCTTCAGTTATGTTTTGGTACTATTCATACCTGTATCCCAACTCCAGTAAGCCGTATCACTGGGTTGGCTTATATGGAACGGTAAGGTTGCCAGTTTCCTCTCTACATTAATCCATATTTTATTAAATGTTGCAGATGACTGGATGCGGACAGTGATGGGCAGCAGAGGCAGCTCATGCACCCTTGCTGCACTCAGCTACTGGGTTGCACAAGAGAAAAGGAAATGGCGGCTCATCTGATCATTAGCACTTTATGAAATCATAACAGAACTTAAGCTATGGCTGTCTTTAAAGTCGAAGAGAAATAGTCAGTCTTTTTGAGTAAAACCTGATTTGTTTCCCGCATGCATTAGGTACCAATCTCACAGGACCAGACTGTTTTCTAGAAGAAAGCAGCATTGTCTTAATTTCACTGCCAGAATCTCAAGGGAATCCAGGTTTTTATGGTCAAGAGACCACTTTGTTTAGATCAACTGTGCCTAGCTGCAAGATCAAATTTAGGACAGCCAGTAGGAAAAAAACGATGGCTTGATTTAGGACAGCCAGTAGAAAAAAAAAAAAAAAGGTGGCTAAAAAAATTGGCAAGAGTTCTGCTAAATATCATTTTGAAATGTTGCCTTTAATCAAATTTTTCTTGTGATTGGGAAAAAAAGAAGGTTAAACTTAGTTTTCTAGAGCTAAATTGTGATTATAGGCACGGATGTAGGCTATTTAAAAGAGAAGAATTTAAAAGTCCAGTTTCATACCTGGTTTTGCCTGATTCTGTGACTGTTCCTAGTCACTATTCGTTTTCTGGAAGGGCTTCTCCAGTTTCATACCTGGTTTTGCCTGATGAAAGGCTGCCGAGAGCCTGTTCCTAGTCACTATTCGTGTTCTGGAAGGGCTTGAAGAGGTGGTGCTTGACCCGGTATTGCCCTAACCTCCTCGTGCAAACACCTTTGCTAGGGTCTGCTCTGTTATGCGTGGGTGCAAGCCTGGTTAAGCTCTGGGCTGACCAAGAACGAAGAGGCTGTTGGTGTAGCAGCAAGTGTAAGCTCATGTACCTGCTGAGTGCTTTATTGAGCGGGTCTGGTGCTCTGCTCGTGTGGACAGCTGGCTTGTGGAGCTTGGACAAGTTCACATCTGTCCACCATGCACTGTGAGCCGCAGCAGCAGCACAGGGGCAATGTCAGGGCTGCCAGAAGGAACGGTGAGCAGTTACTGAATTCACCTCAGCCATACTCAGGCACAACGTAATAAACTGCTGGCACTTAACAAAGAGCATTATTCTGTGTAGGTATGTATTACCACTCATCACCAGGCTAGCTGGATGCTTTCCAACAGTGCACCGAGCAATGTGACTTCCATATGTGCTGTGGGATCTGTCCTGGCTTCCCTGTTACTTGGTAGCTTGCTGTACGTATGGTCCCTTGTTGTGAAAAAGTGTTTTCCAAATATGCATGTGTGCTATGTCTGCTCGATTGCAGTAGGGTTGGAAGTGAGGAAGCCAGCCCTGCACAGGGGTGGTGGTGTTTATAGTCCTTCGGCTGCGTGGAGTTTGCTGCATCGTTAAGTGATGGCAGCTCACACAAAGCTCGAGTGCTGCATTGCCCCGTGCTTACATTTCTTTCAGCTAGCTGACCGAGTCAAAACTCATCACAGATCCATATAATTTCCACCGTGTAATGCGAACAGCAGATTCAGTCGCTTTCTAGGACAGTGTTTTCCTTTTGCACTAGAGGGTAAGATGGCAGTAAGTGGTTAGGGATACATGTAATGTTCTAACTAATTGGAGAACTGGGCGTGAAGCTCCTGTTGTCCCCCCGTCTCCCTGGCCCCTTTCACACAGGCTCTTGTGGTGCAACAGCATAGACGCTGTTGCTGCTGAGCAGCACGTGCTCACATGTCCCCTTATCTTTGTGTGTTTTACCAAGTTACCCATACTAAGGCCTTAACACTCAACAGGTTTTATAAATACAGCTGAAGGACTCACTTCAGGGGACTCTTTACCCCAGGACAGCAGGTTGCATGGCATTGTTGTGCACTGCTGGTGGAAACGATCCTTTAATTCGAATGGTCGTGACCTGGATATCAAGGAAGGAAAATCAGAGGTCTGCTGCCAAGAAACTGAGTGTCCTTGGCATGTAGCAAGCAGCAACAGAGTTTTAATTATCTAATTAAAATGTGGCATCCCATTATTTTACATTGTTTATAATACTAGCTGTGTATGTGTGTGGTGGGTTTTTTTTTTCCCCTTAATGCTCTGTAAAAAAGATTCCTGGCCTGAGATGGCAGCAGCAAATGGAGTGTGTACCATAGAAATGAAGCTGTAACAAAGCAGCAAGGTGCTGATAGCTGATGTTAGTCACAAATTGTTAGTTCCATGTAGGTTTTCCTTAATCTTTGTGAGTTATGAGTAAATGAAAAATATTTTGAGAGAGATGTAGGACATTTCTGTTTGGAAACTTGTTTTTATTTTTTTTTGTATTCGACTTTGTCCTACATTTTTAGCTCTGTGTCTCTGGGGTGGTTTTCGCTGACTTTGAAATCTGTCTTGGCAGAGTTTAATGGCCCTCACTGTTTTGCTTGTTTCTTTTTGGGAACGCTTTGCCTTTGATTCGCTCCGATAAACATTTGCTGTGGGACAGATTTCAATCTTGATTACGTCAGTATAAATTACAAGCATGGTCACTGAAATCCGTGATTCCACGTGGGCCTGTGTGTCACAATCACACAATGGCTGAGGTTGAAAGGGACCTCTAGAGATCATCTAGTCCAACCCCCCTGCTCCAGCAGGGACACCCAGAGCACGTGGCACAGGGTGGCATCCAGGTGGGTCTTGAAGATCTCCAGAGAAGGAGACTCCACAGCCTCTCTGGGAAGCCTGTTCCAGGGCTCTGTCACCCTCACAGCAGATAAGTTCTTCCTCACATGGAGGTGGAACTTCCTGTGTTTCAACTTGTACCCATTACTCCTTGTCCTGTCACTGGCCACCACAGAGAAGAGCCTGGCCCCATCCTCCCTACATTCTCCCCTCGGGTACTTGAACATATTGATCAGATCTCCTCTCAGTCTTCTCCAGGCTAAACAGGCCCAGCTCGCTTAGTCTTTCCTCCTAAGATAGATGCTCCAGTCCCTTAATCATCTTCGTGGCTCTACACTGGACCCTCTCTAGAGGCTCCACGTCCCTCTTGTACTGGGAAGCCCTGCACACAATACTCCAGGTGCAGCCTCAGTGTCCCGAATCAGCATCTCCATGAGTCTTCAAGCTTCCCTGCTAAGGAGAGTGGAAGGCGGGAAGGTGGCTCTGAGCTGTGCCATGATGCAGAGGGCAGCAGCCTCACCTCAGGCAGCGCCCAAGAGGAGAAGACGCCAGGAGAACGGCTATATCCATACAATGGGAAATAAACAGGTGCTGGGTGATTCACATGTAAGATCACATTGGCTTTTTGTGGGTGAGGAGAAAGACGCTTTGGGTTAGGCTTGTAAGCCAGGAGCGAGGGGAATCTTAGTCTCCACTGCAGTCCTTACTCGCAGCTTACTGGGGTCATATAACTACCCAGCAGCCTTCAATAGCTGAGCTCTGCTAGGCCCGGCCACACGCGCTTTAGCTTGAGTTATGTTTAACGCCCTTGCCTTTTGGCCTTTGAGATTCTTCTGGTTTGAGGGGTTCTCGTTTTCTTGCAGATCCCAAGCAAGTTCCTTTCTGCCGAGAATACGATTTGGCCCCAGTGTGTGTGCAGTAGCTCTCAAGTACTGCCCTTCTGACCCTCTTCTGCAGGGGCATTACTACAACTCGCGCTCTGCGCCCTGGCCTGCCCGCGCGCGGTGCTGCGGCCACGGGCACCCGGCTGCGCCGCTCCACGGACGGCCTCCCCATCCAGAGTGGCAAATACGTAACGATGAATCTCCTGCTGATGCGCGAAGCCTTGTGTAAGCTGCGGTCTAGCTTCAGCTGCAGCTGGTGATGACAACAGAACTAAGAAGGCTGACTAATAAGTGAGGTCGAAAAAAAAAAGCTTAGTGGTGTTGGCCTAGCTCTGCAAGTATGAATGATTGCAAAACCAATGTGCGCAGCAGTTTTGCTGTTTTAGCACTGGATTTTTCTTAGAAACTTTCAAATGTTGGCCATGGGTAGTTTCAAGAGCAGGCAAAATAAATTTTCTCTTTTGAGC